GTTATACGACAAGTGAACTCAGTGTGTAGAGAGGGTATAATATTTATTTATGGAGATCGATATTCGCTGAGCCGATTGCGTTTTACGCCAGTTTACGAATAGTTCCTGGGTTTCTTTGTTTGATTATATTATCTGCTTCATAATTATTGAGATTTGGAGCGGAGAGAGGGATCGTCACCGTACAGTGCGGAATCTCTGCCGCGGATTCCGGCGTCTCCGGTATACATTCCGGCGTCTCTTTCGCACGGCCCACCGTCACCGTCGTGAGTATCCGTTTAATACAGTATCCTAACTAAATCACAATGTTCGCAATTTAAAAAAAAAAAAAAAAAACTGAAAAAAAAACCCCGTATAGACAAATCGCGACTTTGGCAAATGTTTAATCAATTATTCGCATAGGTACAGCTATAATGCGTCGTCACTATCGGTCATGAATACGGGAAGTTCGTTTTACGAACCGATACTCGTGTCAAGCGATTCGGAGAGTGAAGACTCAGACAGCTGCGACCGAATGAACAGTTTTACGCGTACTAACAACATGATTTCTACGCCATACAGCCCGACACACACGCCGGGTAGTCAGGTAACGTCACCGTTCTGTCTCTACTGCGAATTCCGGCGTTTCTGGTATACATTCCAGCGTCTCCTTCTCACTGCCTGCTGACACCGTCGTGAGTATCCGTTTGATGTAGTATCGTACCTATTAATGTTCGATATTTAAAAAAAAAAAAAAACCGGTGAAGACAAATCGCGACTTCGTCAAATGTGTTATTACTTATATTTTCGAACATTTAGTCGAATATTTTGTACCGCAGGCAAGTATGAAATTAAATATTTATATGTTTTTTTCGCATATATATATATATATATATATATATATAGATGTAGCCTTGCCTCATTACAATGGTATGATTTGCAATATTTTGACGAACCTGTATGGATTTCCAAGTGACGAGGAATCCACGTGGATTTATGGCCATCACCATACGATGATGGCGATGATTGAAGCTTCATTAACGGTGATCAACCCACAAAATTGTGATTTTTTTTCAATTGTAATTACCTTACGTCTCATGGATGGAGTTCTTTCCATCAACTTGTAATTTTTTTTTTTTTTTTCAATTGTGTTACTTTATTCTATTTGCTTCTGTTAATAAACGATACAAATGTACGATTGTGTTTCTTTATTGGACATCTATTATACAACCGTTTCGAATAATTGGTACAAATTATGTCTTTGTGAGAAAATTCTATTTTTTTCAATATTATTACTCGTGTATTTTATGTTTGTTGTCTTATTCGAAACATTAAACTAATGCTTTTATTTACAAGCTGAACTATCCGCCTTTGCCCGTGTACTATCACTTTTATAACTCTTGTAAGAATTGTTTAATTAAATTTAATTAATTAAACTCCTTTTACGTATACAATTATCCAACTATATTCGCTAATTATTATAATAATAAAAACGTTCACAATCATCAGTGCGAATTCAACTCAAAAGGCTCCTTTGTAAACAACATTGACTCTCGTTAGACATCAAACTCAAATTTACAAAAAATTATCGTTCCCATAATCAACATGGGGATCGTAATGAGAAGAAGAATTCTCCTTTTTTTCAACCCATTTAGTTTGAACTAAATTAATTCTAGCTAAACTTTTTCTATTGGCATCATTTGAAGAACGACCAAGATTTGATCTTCTTTTTGGCATTTTAAGATTAACTACCAAAATAGGACTGACATACTTTGCAGGATAGGTGGGAAATTATTAGAATTGTAACGTGCAAAATGTCACTTTATCACATAAGGCAAAGGTCCGCGTACGTTGTCGCGGTGGTTTTTCAAACACACCACCACCCGACCATCACTCTGCGAGCGTATATCGATGTGTAAAGGGGGGTATCGGCCAATCAGATGATAACAGTTTAATTTCGCGACCGACGGACTGTATATAAATAAATACTTTAAAAATTAAAAATTATAACTTTGGAACGTTCATACCCGCTCTACCCAACTATCCCGAATCCCAATTACCGGGGACACCCCGTGCCCAAAAATACGATGTGCTACAACTGCTACACTCGAAGTATAGTTTGGACATCACTGATTATTACAGCCCATTTTACGAACATGTGTACGTATTAGCTTTATTAAACGGTTTAGCCGATCGTTTTCACGAACTTTCCGCATGATAATTTGCGAGTGCACACTATTACGTTAATAATGAACTGTTACCCACTTCACCGGCTGCTGACGTGTGTAGGTACCACGGTTTAATGACAATATTTTATTGCACGTCACGTCCCACATGGATTTTGTCGAATAAGGGTCGTTCGTCGACACCTCGACTCTGGACACCAGTGGATTTTTCAATCGATTGACGCACCGGACAGCATACAAGCATACAAGGCTGGACATTAATGAGTTAAGAAGTTAATAGTTAATGTTTTTATTACAATCGATTTAATAGGAGTCTACAACAAAGCATATTTGTGTAGATTCATACGGACTACAAAAACAAATAGTTGTTGTAAATAATATCAGTTATATAGTAATCGCTATATTTTTAATACGACCCAAATTATCTGTGATCACTATAAATCTCAGTTTACCAAATGGAACTTGTAAATTTAACTAAACACATATTTGTCAGGGGTGTAACCGAAAATTTCAGTAGTAACAATCATATTATAGTAATCGTTTCCATTTTTTTTTTTCAGTGATATGATTATTGCTTTTTATTACGACATGTACTAATTTTCGTCTCGCTTTTGGTATTAATTGTTAGTATCCGATATATGATCTAAACAAGATGGATTATAATATTATAACTTGTATCTACTTTTGGACGGAGTATAGGTAAATACATTATTATAATTTGAAATAGGATGGCGGCAAAAACAATTACTAAACGTAGATTAAAAATACCGTGAATATAAACGTCTTTCTGTTATCAGTGATAATGTCCCGCGCTGTCAGTTACGTGACGCGTTTCTAGCAAGTTGTTGGAAATTAAAAATTTTTGTTTAATAAATACACGTTTAATAATTATAATATTCTAATCGGTACATATTTAATGAATGTAATGATTATAATAGTATGCGTTTATGACCTACCTATATTAATTTTTCATTATTTTCTATCATAGATCATAATGTTTTAATGGTTCTATTCTTCCTAGTTGCTGTTCAAAAGTATCAGTTGACCTTTATCCATATATATTTGTAGCGCCTTTCTTTTTGCCAATGACTTTGAGACTTCCCTACAATAATTTTCATTTAGGATACAGTGTTATACAGTTACTAGATATTGTCAAGTGCCAATTAATATAAATACATATATTTAAAAGTAATATAGTGGTGTCAAAATAGATAATATAAATAATTATTATTTTAGGCGAATCGGTTTTGAATAACAGACACCAAAAGTGAAAAGGACTCTCTGATGATATCTAAGATGAAAAGAAACAATAATTCGATACATAAATGATCAAACGCTAGTGAGTATTGTATATTAATTATAATTTTATATATCAAAAAATGATAGCTATAACACTCATGCGACCAAATTATAATTGTCTCACATGGTTCTAATATTTTAGAAGATCCACGGCACAAAAGTATGCAAGACTCTCGTATTGGTACAATGGATTTGAAACCGAATGGTGGAAAGAAATTTAGGTTTCAACTTTTTATATTAAAATGTCTGGCTCATGTGGTAGGAATGTGTATTTTAATCATAAATGTCTCTTATCGAAATATTTAATACAAATTAAAAACTTTTAAAATACATAATTTGATTACTTTAATATAAAATATATAACTTGTTTAAATTTGAATAGCATGGTGGTTTGCCTATTCATAACATATTTCTGACATGTACTTTTATTATTAAATTATCTGGTTCATCGTGATATAAATGTTTATTATGATCAGACATACATTTTAAAAAAAAATTTCACTATATTTGAGAGAAAATAATACCAATTGACACAGTTTTTGTTTGAACTTATATATTATATTAGTTTTTCTATTATAATCATCCTTTAGATTTCAATTTTTAATATTGAATTATGATGACTCGACCTTTGTGATAGTAAAGTGTATTCTAATCATATATGTGTCATATTTAATTTCACAATATTTGATACAAATCAAAAATTTTGTAAGTACATAGTTTGTTGAAATTGAAAGGCATTTTGCTTTCATCATCTTTCTGACTTTGACTTTTAATATTAAATACTTTTTTTGATGTGGTTGGAATGTGTAAAGCTATGTATTTATTAATAAATGTTCTAGTTATTGTGATAAGAATGTGTTTTATGATCAAACATATGTTTTTGTACCTAATTTCACCGGATTTAATACAAATAATACATATAGACACAGAATTTGTTTGAATTTACATAGAATTTAAGTTTGCCTATAAATTTATTAGATTCCCACTTTCAATAATACATTAACAAGTTCTTTGTGATAGTAATGTGTATTTTAATCATGATTATCAGACACAGATTTTGATTGAATTTATAGAGAATATTATTTCACTATAATAATCATCTTTTTGGATTTCAACTTTTAATATTAAAATATCTTGCTCATGTGATAGGAATGTATACTTTATTCATAATTGTCAGTTATCAAAATATTTATTACAAATTAAAAAATTGAAAAATACTTAGTTTTATTAAATTTTTAAATAGCATGGCGGTTTGCCTTACTGTACTTCACTCTGACTTGGACTTTTAATAATGAATAATCTAACATTTTGTGATAGAAACGTGTATTATGATAAGACTC